AGGCTTAAAAAGTTAACTAGTTGATAACCAACAGGCTACAGACACTCGTCAATATGTCTGCGGAATTTATTGCTAATGTGGCTATTGTAGCCTGAAACAATTTCTAATGTCGAGCTCTGGACACAAACTAATAAAGCCCCTATGGATCAAGTCATTAAACGTCGCAAATGTTAAATGTTAAACGTCCAAGATAGCTTGGACATACGCTTGGAAAGCAGCACAGATATAACCCGACAGAGTCTGAAAAGGAACCCCAAGGCCAGCGAAGACGCGAAGGCCTAAAGAAACGTGGAGAAGGACTCTAGAGAAGGAGATGCGCAGCGTCGGACAGACTTGGTCTGGAGTCAAGGAGCTCACTAAAAGATCGAGATGCCTGGCAGAACTTCGTAGCGGTCCTATGTACCCATCTCAGGGATTCTACGAATAATTGGGTACAATTTGTAATAAATCAATTATCTAACTCATGTTTCAATCTATTTAAAATCTATTGTCGTAGGAATAGAAAAAGTAAAATTACCCAAGTAATTACCAAAGCCCAAGCTAATATCTTTTTAATTTATCCATTTTTAGTTTTAAGATTTTTTTAATCTATCGTTTTGGAGCCAAGTTTCCCTTTCCGCGTTATCGGTGATATATTTTGGATTAATAATTATGATAAATTTGACTATATTTGTTTACTTTTCTTGAGAATGTTTATTTATTGGGGAAATTTTTTGTTGTTTGATTATGTAATATTGATTGTTTGCTATTTACTGCAAATGAGAGGTGAATTATGCTTTTATAAATTAACAATTTTAACCTGGTATCGGATTTACTTAACAATTGGCCTAGCTTACAAGACTCCAACCTAGGTATGGGATCTCCAAGGCCCAATATCGATATTGTCGTCGATATTAATTTCGGGCTATAACTATTGATGCCATAGTTGAAATACCAAACTTGAAACATCGATAGTCGATATTTTCATGGATATATATACATGTTTTTTAAAAATTTTACATTAAATCGGCCATCAATATCGAAATATCGATATTTTTCTCTACTACGCACTACATTCTGATATGAAACAGGCACTAGCGGATCCAGGATTTAATTTTTTTTTGGGGGGGAGGGGGAGGGGCTTCAGCCCATAAGCTTTTTTTTCATAAAAATAACGACAATTACTTTGGAAAAAAAGAAAGAAACTGACTACCCATATGAAATGGTGTTTAAGTAATTCCTTAAGTCCTTTTAATTGTAATTATACGATAAATAATACTTTAAGAGATAATTTTTTGATATTTTTTTTTCACAAAACGTCGTTATATTTTACCATTTTGGGGGTGGCTTCAGCCCCAAAGCTCCTTTCCCCCCGTAGATACAGCCATTGGAAACAGGCAAGATGAGTGTATTTCTTTTTCTATCAGATTCATATATAATTTCTAGCGATTTTTGAAAAAAAAATTATTTTATTTTCAAAATTAAATATTAAAATATGAATGGGACGATATCGATAGTCTATAATATCAAAGTAGATATTATCGATGGTAAAATATGGATATTTAGGTAATCTGACTATCGTCATCACACATTCATCCTAATAATTGCTTTCCTTTTTTATGGCAACGAATTAGAGATGTCTATCTTAATAGATTCAGTGAGTCACTAGTGGATAGCGTGAATTTCTAGGATAAAAATAGAACCGGGGCTTTAAGATTTTCAAAAATAAAATATACATTTATATCCTCATTTTCTACGTTATCTCATCAGTTCAAAGGCCGGATCTCTATCTTAATTTCCTTTCTTAATAATCTTGGAAGAAATCGCCATTCCATTTTCTTCTGTGTCTACCATTCTTCCTAGTGCTACTAAATTTAGTTTTATAGTTCTGCTTCTTAGAAGCATCACTATTAAAATCAGATTAAAATTTACATCAGATTAAAAAAATTATCTTTTTCCATGAGCTGATAATTGATCAGGGAATAAAATCAGTGTGTTTAACTACTCAAGAACTGAAGAAGTAATTCTAATGATTACTTCTTTCCGTTGTTTTTTAAACATTTTTAGAAAAATCCATTGCAATTATAAAAAATCAATACATTGATAATAACTATTATAAATGTTAGAATCATTACAAAAAGACAAAAATTAATGAAAATGGTCATTACAGCAAACATGTCGAATAATAAAGACTGTCCAAATTTTAATAGAACACATTGCTGTTAAAATTTTGAAACATCTAATTGATTCATTCATATTACTATTCGATTTTGAAAAATTTTACATGATGTTAATATAAATTTCGGGTATCAATTTTTTGAAGGAACATTTTTAGAGAAAAACCATGCTTTTTTACGTTTTAGCTTTGTGGTTGTTTTAGGAAGTTAGTAACCTGCATATTTATAATCACCAACATAAGGAGACTTCTGCAAACATCACTTAGAAAAAAAAACTTCTCTTAGAGTTTGGGCTTTGTTAATGCTAGGTTATAATAATTTAATTTATGTATTTCTGATTGCTAATTATGATTAATTTGTTTACTTTTCTTGAAGATGTTTATTTATTTATTGAAGACTAGAGGGGTGCCCTCTGTCCCTCTAATGGCAGACCAGTCTCACACTTTTACAAGTTATACAACTGTTCGTTTAATTCTTCTGCTCATTGGTCAAATTGTATAACTGTAATTTACATGTGTTCTGTAGTTCAGATTGTGTTAATTTGTATCAACATATAAACGGAACATAACCACAGTTCGGACAATTATTGATTTATTTAAAAATGTATAATATACTTCGCGCCTTTTTGCCAATTTATATTATTATTATGTAATTATAATTATTCTTATTGCTAATTTTTAACCATAATAAGGGTGAAATAATTCTGTGAATAAGCTGTGTGGTGTTTTCTTCAGGTCCATGCTGCTGGTTCCTTCATTATGGTCTGTCTGTTTATACATAAAATAAAATATGATTGTCACTAAAAATTGTTTATACAATAGAGTGAATCAGGTTTAGCGGTCCAATCTATTAACCAATGGTTTAATGATGCCTCATGGACACCTCATTAGAAACTCAGTGTCTTGTATTTTGTTACTCTTCAAGGGTGTTAACCTTCCACTGGAATCAAGCAGGTCTTACCTAAACCAGCATAACTCACTGTACATTAGTGCTGGATTTTATCAATGGAATTAGTGCTGAGTTAAAAAATTGCTACTTATTTAACCTTCATACCCAATCCAAATTAAAAAAAATATAAAATGCTGGGAAAATTTCAAGCATATTAGAAATTAGAAATCTATTTTCTTCTTAGTTTGATTTAGTGTGGTAGTTCCAATTTTCAATAGGTTCTTTTGGCAATTTAATTTCTTTCAAATAAAAATTATTATCTCAATATGGGGGTTTTTGATGACTGGAATGTTTTTTCTATCATCAGAGCATTGATTAAATTAATTTTCACTATTCCTTTAATTTTACAACAAAATAATTAAAGTTATTAATATGCTTTTACATATTTTACTTAATGCTATGATACTTTTAGTAAGTTGCTTAATAATTAAACTACTTATCACTCACTATTAGTCTCATGCTGTGATATAACACAAAATATTGGTTTTTACAATTTTCTATTTGCATACCTTGCCAATACTTTCTATTGGAATAACGTAGGAATGCATGAATATCTACAAATTAATCAAAACTGTTTTCCAATGAGGCCATTGAGGACCTTACACAAATGCAGACCAAATTAAAGCCAGAATGACAGCAGGCAATAAGTGTTCTTACGTCCTGGTAAAAATATTAAAATTGACATGTGACGCCAAAGAAAAACCTCATAAAATCATAATTAGAACAGTTGTTACATACTCATGCGGGCTTCGACCCAGAAAAGTGAGAGATTGCTGAAAATTTGGAAAAGGAAAGTCCTCAGAAAAATATTCGGTCAATAGTGATAAGTTACAATAGAATAATTGTTTAGTGATAAGTTTAGTGAAAAGCGATGAGCTACATGAGTTCCGTAATAATGACAATATTGTAGTCACTGTTAAAAGGTACCACCTCAGTTGGCTAGACCATGTAGATAGGAAGGAGGAAGATAGGTTGCCAAGGAAACTTCTCATTAGCTACCAAGGAGGAACACACCTTAGGCGAAGACAAATAGGCTGCTGTAAAAGAATCGATGATGTAGAGGAAGACCTCAGCTGTATGGATATGAGATGATGGAGGAGAATAGTTGTGGATAGGGAAACCTAATGGTAGCTTGTTTCTGATGCCCAGGTCCATTAAGGACGGTTTAGCAAATTAATAATAATAATATCAGCATTATGGGTATCCAGATATTTGGCATTAGGTTTGCAGTCACTGTTTTGTTATTTTTAGTGATGTATTTAGGCTCCAATCATTTTCTATTATTAATTTTTTTTGCTATGTATATTAATTCTAGATGCCAAAAATTTCTTCATATATAATTCGTATAATTTTAATTATTTTTTAACAGAAACATAAATTTATGAAATAAATGTTCTGTCAATGAGGAAAACATTCCTCGAAATGTCAATAAAACATTCCTAACTCAGTTCAGTTGTGATTATTGGAATGTTAATTTGTAACCTATTTGTGTGAAATTTTATTATTCTTTTCGGAATAACAAAATCGTTTTTACTAAATTATAGATGTTGCTCTAAATCCTTATCGGATGGGGTCAGTGTCTTCTTTGTCCCACCCCAATTCCGGCCCTACCACAGCCTAAAAACTGTATGAAGAACTTTGCAGTTCATTGTTCCACTAAACCAGTTTACCAACTCATGATTGGATTTTACATTTCAACGTCACATGATGGAATGTAAGACTTACGGAATTTCAGTTCCATTATTCAAAAAACTCCAAACAGGGTTTCGCTCTCATGATTTTTTCACATTCCATTTTGAGTCGAACCTATGAAGTGAAGTGACCTTCAGTTGCCACCTTAATGTGTTAAAAATATTGTAATGGATGTATTGAGGAATATAAATGAAAGGTTTATCAATGGACCACTTGGTTTTAAAACTTTATTAAATATTTATTTAATCAATAATTAAAATTTTAAAATCACACTCTACATTTTTAAAATGTAAATTACATCAAACAACTTTAGGCCATTCTGTTGATACACATATTAATAGCTGAAATCATATGTAAAAGGAATTTGTTTCAAAAATGATTTTATAACTGGATAATCTAAAAATTTTAATTAGGTGTATTGTAAAAACTCTCCTGTTCAAGGAAATGGTTTTATAAATAATATACTAATATATAATATAGTATATATAATATGTTATTTTAATAAAAACTCCACAAAAACGAAACATTAACCCATATTTTAAAAAATATAGTGGCTAAACCACTTTTGAATATGTCATTTAAAATAATACTACTATATCACATAATTCGTGCTGTTTACATTAATCATTTTACTTACATTTTAAAGTCAAATGTGTTGTTGGAACATATGCTATATTATATTCTCAACAGTTTGTTTGTACAAATACATAATATAGAAATGGTAACATTTATAAATTTGAATACTATCACAGTGAAACTTTACTATAAGCTCTCTCTCTCTCTCTCTTTCTTTCTCTCTCTCACTCTCAAAAAAAAATAAAATAAAATAAAAAATAATAAAACAAACAATTGATTACTTTCTAGTAATAGTTTTCAGTTATTTTGTTTCTGTATAATATTGAAATTTCTATATTTCCAATGGAACATACCGATTCCTAGGCACATCATATTAATATTTGGTCTTAAAATATTTACAAATTTTTCTATCAACTAATTAATTTATATACAAATTTAACTTTTATAATCTACCTAATTTTATCTATTAGTCTATTATTTACTTGTGGTCCCTTAAAAAATATTAATAAAATACATTAACATTTTAATCACTTTCACTAAATAATGAAAGTGAATACTTCAATATTTAATACTTATTAAAAAAAATAACTATTGTTATAGAGTAAAAACAAATCTTCTTCTTAACTATCATCAGTCTTTGAAATGTGTTGCAACTTTTGTTAGCATTACAAAATAATTTATTTGGCTAATAAATAATTTCTATATGCTAGTCTAATTCTTTTAAAAATTCGTGAAACGAGTGTTCATAAATGGCGATGACAAACATCAGACCACCTCCGAGAAACATTCCAATTAATTGTATGCAGAGGTGTGATAAACTTGTGACTTGTTTCTGCATTTCAGGAATCTGAAAAGAAAAAAAAAAGGACTTTTTGTTAATTGGTGAATTAATCATTTAAATATTTGATTGAATTGTATACTTTATTTAATATAGATTTTTTGAAATTATATGAGGTTTCAAAAAGTGAAATAACTAACATTGTGAATTTGTATGTCTTAAATTTTTTATGTAGGTCATATTTGAAATTTGATAACAAGTTTCGGTGTATTAAACAAAAAAAAAATCATAACATCCATTGAAACATGAGTATCTGTTTAATTTAAATTTATAATATTTGTTGAATATTTTTGGAATGTGAAAGTGTTATTTCTTATTGAAATGACTATTTTTGTTTTCGAATTACTAAATAAAATTCGATATCATTTACAGGTTATAGGTGATAATGAAGTGGTCATTGTGGGTAGTGTCAAATTTTGTTATTTTAATTTTACTCATAATTATTTTAATTTTTTTGTTTCTATTATTTTTATCAGTTATTAAAAATAAAGTTGTATAATTAATATTTAAAATATTAGCTTCTAAAATTATATTCACATGTCCTACAAAAAGATTTGAGCGGATAGTGGCTATAGGTAAGAAGAAAACTAAGATTTTTGGTTTTTGCTCAAATATAACTATAGTATAAATAATGTGGATTGTTTCAACCAGAATCTTGATTCTATGAGATATTCTCTCATTCTTATATTTTCATATTGATTCAGAATGTCAAAATGCTAGAAATTCCTCCTTCCCACAAAAAAAAATAAATAAATATGTTGAACCATCTCACTTTTTTTGAATTTAGAGTCAGTTTGGTGCAACATAGAAATCTCCTGAACCACTCCTCATCAGTTTCCATTTAAATAAAACCCTACTTTTCCAAAGTATAAATTATATCAGACTAGTTTAGACCATCCTTTTCATATATATGTTAACAGCTAAAATTTATGTAAGTCCTCTGCTTTTTTTACTGTACACGTCAGATACACTGCAGTTTTATGAAGCAAAGGAATCCCGAGGAATTCCACTAACAGATGTAATTGAACTCATCATCCCCCTATATACAGGCGATCTGGTGATCTTAGCAGACACCTGAAGAGATGGCCAGAACAAACTCCAGATCCTAGAAAATGACTGCCTTCAAAAAGGCCTAACAGTAAATACTAACAAGACTGTAGTTTTGACATCCCTAAGAGATGGTAAAGTAGAGAACATGATTTATAAGAAATAAATCATTCATTCAAAATTACATGTAAGAGAAATTAGTTTAAAAAATAGTTTTAGTGAACAGAAAAATCTCTCGCTTGTGGTTAAGAACATCTGCAGAAAAAAATCTTTTATTCTCAAAAATATGATAGAAAGATCAGTGTTATTACATTATTTGTTATGGGAATTTCCACATTTATTGTTGATATCACCACTCAAAAATGAAGGAAGTACCGTTTTATAAAGTGTGTTTGTGGGAGTCTCCTCCTCCCAAAAGATACAATGAACTTTGGCTGCCATTACACTGTATTTGTTTTTCAGTTATCCTGTTACTTTTGTTGTTAATTATTAGTATTTGTCTTATCATAATACATTTTGTTTTATGTTAATTTAAATATAGGCCAATTTGCTCTGCTTCTCTAACCAGAATTTTAGCAATGCTCTCAAGTCTTCTTAATCGTTCCCTAGGGTAGATATCTGCTTGTTCTAGAATATTGTAATTCATTTTGGTGTGGTCTTCTATTTTCAAGTGATGTTCTCATCACCTTCTCCAGAGTTAAATTGAACACATCAATGAGAGTCCATCTCTCTACATCAAGCCTGTTCTATCTTAAAAGACTTCAGATATTTTTCCTTGTATCAGTACTTGTTATTTAGAAATATTTGTTAAACACTATTCCTAATCTCACTAATTTCTCAGGAACTCCAAGTTCGTTTATGATTTCCCAAAGAATCTCAAGATTATTAAAACTTGATTTCAATTAGTAATTTTTTCGTATCTACATATGTCTACATATTTATAATTTTCATAATATTAAAACTTTGTGACTTACTAAAGTAGCTAGAGAGATATATAAAAACGACCCTGCAGTAGCTGCATATATCCAAAGCGCAGCTTCTGAATAATCTGCTAATAGCAACCCCAAAATGACTCCTATTAAACTCAGTACAGATGATGCAAGGTTATAAATCACAGCAGTTTTTAGGTCCATACCATTCTGTAGCAAGAGAGCGAAATCACCTGTAAAACAGATAAAACATATATTATATAAGTAAATAATCTGCTTTTTATGGAGAATAATGTAATAAGCCAATAGAGAAGACTGGGTAATATTTTGCTTCATATTATGTAAGCAGAAAAAGTAAAATAAATAAATAAAAATGCTAAAAATATAATATAACAAAGTCTTAATTGCATTCATACATATTTATAACAGTCACAGATCTTTAGAGATTGGAAGGTTGAGGATGTGTTCTGCACAGAACTCCCTGATGAAGACCTGCATAGTTGGTTCAAAATGTCGGCTTAATAAAATAGTCTCAACCGTTTTAAGTTTTTTTTTTAAGACTGTCACCCCTGTCCATTTCTTTCTTCAATATACTGTGGTCAACTATTGAGTATTCAACATTAACATTTAGAGCATTGTCTTCTTCCAAACCTCATCTTCCACAAATGATGACAAATTGGGATACTAGAATCTGAGTAAGAGTACATACATAAGCTTCTAACACATAAAACATGGAAAAAATAGCCATTGTCAGAACTCCACAAGTCATATTTTAATAAATGTCTCAGACTCATAATGATTTTAATTTTCAAGGAGGTTGATTAGATGAGTGGCACTGGATATTTGTTGGACCAGATGATTAGAATTTTTGAAGTGATTTGATGGAATTCCATAAATTTGAAGGGTGTAAGATTGAGAATGAAAGGTATATTGAGGTAATTTCCTTCTTTCCTCTGCCCTGACTTGATTTGAATTTTTATAAAGATGAAAGTTGTCTTTTTTATTTTTTGGAGGCAGTATGCAATGCAGCCTTATTAGGTCTATTGTGTGGCACACTTGAACTGTTTTATATTAAAACATTACTTTTGCCACATCCACAATCGCAGAAGGCTTGTAGGATTGACAAGCTCAAAGTCCTTATAAAGTAGTCCTTATTCGTCCCCTCAGAATAATTATAATGAACAAATAACTAATGCAATTATTACAATGGAAAATAGAAAAAAAATATCTGATACTTAAATTTGTTTTATTTGATATAATTAAAAAAAATTCAAAAGTGATTTATGAAGATAATTAGTTCTTTTAATTTTTTTCTGCTAATTAATCATCAAATAAATTTTATTTATTATTAATGAACTTTAAAATTATGAACTTTATTGCCGAAAATTACTATTTTTTTTTTAGAAAGTATGTTAGTGATACATATATTTGTAGCTGTATAAAATAAATTTTTTTAAAGTAATGTTATTGAAACATGATCGGGTTTAATATAGTTTTATTAATTGTTGATAGACATATTCTTGATCATAGATGTAACCAGAGTGAATATTATGGGTTGTTCACTCTGGAAAGAAATATACAGTAGATATTTTAGTAAGTATGTTAGAGACACATTTATTTGTAGCTATATAAAATAAAATTTTTTGGAGTAATATGATTGAAACATGATCGGGTTTAATATAGTTTTATTAATTGTTGATAGAGATATTCTTGACCATAGCTGTAACCAGAGTGAATATTATTGGTTGTGCACTCCCGAAAGAAATATACAGTAGATAAAACTACTCTGCTGTAGTGAGTGTCCTAAAACTGGCCCTCATTAAAGGAGTGTAATTGAAGACCTTAATGTAAGAACTAGTTGGACATAGATAAGTTTGCACATAATGATATTTACACCAATGCCATGACGTGAACTTTTGTGATGACATGACATTAATAACAATAATAAAAGGCTTAGCGAACCCGAAGGTTCGATGCCGACACCACCAATACACACCGCTTATTACACACCTCCCTCCACCATTCACTGTCCAAGACGCTTACCATTCGGCACAGCAAAATTGAAATGACATTAGTTTTATTAATGTTCCAAAATATATTAATTAACTAACAGATTTTCTACAGACCAATGGTTTAATCCTTCTCACATTGTTTATCCCGAAGGAGAATAAATGAGTGTACATTTGTGCCTAGTTCTTGCACTAATTGAAACAGCTATATGGCCAACTACAATACAAACTCTGAGGCAAAAATGCCTCCTCAAATTTTTTTTTTTTTTGGAAAATTTGTGTTCATCTGGTGCTTACATAATTTATCTTACTGTGAGTTTCTTTCCTGATTTTTTTTCGTCCCCTAAAACCTATTTAATTTTATTAATCAACATAAACAAAATTCTTAATGTTTTTTAGAGTAAGTTAATGTTTGAATGGCATTTATAACATGCTATAAGTTCTAAAAAGTTCAAAGTATTTAAAATGGATAATTGGTCACTGATTGATCTGGTGGATACTAAAGAACTTTAATTTTTAAGCCTTAATTTATTTAAGAACGATCTATCTCAAAATTGATAATTATTAATTGTATAGAAGACTTGATACATGCTTCATTGGTTAACTTCAGAAATAAATTTTAGATTTTATCGTTGTAAACTAATTATTTATTATTATTTTCACTCATTTTATCAATGTTCCTTCAAAAACTAACAGTTCATGTTCTATGACCAAATAACTTTAAAAATACAAAGCTTGTTAAATCACATATTATCATACACCTGTTTTGTATGCTCCAGAATTACAAAAATAGTGTATCTTCAGCTCAATGTTATAAAAAAAAATGTTATAATTTAAATAAACACATGAGTCTTTGTTATATTATTTGATCATTTGATGTCATGTCTCCGGGCTTTGCATTAGTTTTTAAACTCTTTTTTCATGTTGAAAAAAAATAATGGTATTTTTTTTTTTTGTATTGTTTCTAAAGAATAGAATGGTGATATTAAAATAAATCTACCTTAACAACAAGATGAAATGTCTGAAATGTAAAAGAAAGTAAAGAAGGTAACTGTCCCCAAGCTGAGGAGGCGAAGTTCTTCATGCTTTGATATGACATAATCTGTATGAATTAATTTTTAACTATTGAGAATTTGACTGCTATATAATGGTATTTCAAATTTAGATATCTTTTTTAGTTGTCTGAAATACTTTAATTGTAAACTAGTAAAATTGTTTTATCCTAAAAATTTAGAGAAAAAAGTTCTAACGAATGTTTACCTAAATCCTAAATACTGTTCATTTAATATGACAGAAAATATTTTTAAAAAATCTGGTTGTGGTGCCACCTATTAGTCCTTGTATATTCTTGAGGCATAAAAGAGCTGACTGGAGACAATACATTTTTCTTCCGAAACAAGTTATATCACAAAAAATCTGCGTAAGGAATGTTACCATTATGTTACTTAACATGGTTTAATTAACATAATGGATAATAATTGCATGATAAGTAGTTTCGAGGTATTTATTTAGGGTTAAGTTTTCATATCTATCCAACATTTGGTTAAATCAGTAACAGTGATTTTAGATGAAAACATAACAAATGTTACTATTATTTGTAATTTAATATAATCTATTTTAATTGTTCTTTCTTTATTATAAACATTATTTTATAAACTATAAAATAAAACATTATATAAATAAAACATATAAACTATAATATAAATAAAACATTTATAAACTATAATAAAACATTATTAGAAACTAGAAGGAGAATTTTAGTTGTTTTTTATATAATAATTGATGAAAGAAACAAAAACTTTTTTCTGAAGTTGATTTGAAATATTTAAGGTTTACTTTTTTCCTTATTATATTCATAGCCATTTTATATATTCAATATACTAATAAAGTTTGTTTATTTAAACTGTTTGAAGAAAAACATCCATGTTTAATAAGGTTTACGTCCATATTAATTAAGTTATGGTTTAAAAAATAATTAAAAATTAAAAAACAAACCTAATATTAAGAAAACTAACTATTAAAGCTCAACTTTGTTATCTAGGACATCTATACTAATATTTGAGATCAATTTCTCTTCAAAAAGTTGATATTTTTTTTAACCCGAATTGCTATATTTAGAAATGCTAAATGATGAAGTAATAAAAGAATGATCCTCATATCATTGTAAATGTATTAAAATATCCTTGCAATCATTGGTAGACTATAAATTATTTTTGAAATAAACAGACACAGCCATAAAAAGGGGATGATGAATTTAGAGTCTCAGAAATTACTAGTACATTTCATCTAGATAAAATAAATTTGCGTTGTTTTGATATTTTAACTGCATAATTATTCAAAAATAAAAATGAAAAGAATATGCAAAAAATTATCAAATTGTTTAATATTTAAAAATTATAAATGCTCTATTTTTATCAATCCTTGCCTAATTCATGGGGTAGCTCATGGCTGAAGACTGCCAACGCTGTAGCTAATCCGGTCATCACATCCTGCCTGAATGCTGCTCCCATAGCTAAACCGTCGGTTAAGTTGTGGAGCCCATCTCCAGTAATTATCATCCATATTACACTTGTTCCTTTCTGATCACTATCTGAAAATATTTAAAAAACTCAATGATGTATTATTTTAAAACTAGGGATACTTTATGATCATACTAATTTGAAAACTATATTTACACTTTTTATTAAACCTGTATTTTTTCCCCACCTGAATTTGTAGTTCCTTTGTAAGAATTAATTTTATTTTTAATCTTATTATAAATCTTGCAATTTTGGTTCATTATAATTTTAGCCTGATTTTTCAGGTTTTATTATATTTGCAGTGTAAAACGTATTAACCACCAATCAGTCATTAATAATATAATGTACCTCGGGCATTATCAATTTTTTATAATTCGATCTTCCAACAAATGTTATAATATTCAGTAGTACTAAATCTTTGTTTAATTTATTACATTTCTTAAAAATAAATGTATCTTTACATGATTCCATACTAAATTCCAAGACTTGTAATATCTAAATTCTATTTGATATAACTCCTTATAATCGTTCCTTAATCTAAACAGCAAGAATTTTAGTGAATAGAAAAATAATAGAATGAAAATAAAAATAAATATTTAACTTAATTCTAAATAATTAAAATAATCCTCTTAATTGCAGGAAAATTATATACCTAGTTTTCAATCATTCAGAAGAATCCAGTAAACCAGGTTTGTCCTCCCACGTATGTAAGAAAAAGCAGGACTCTAGCAGATTCCAGCACTTCTCTCTTAATTGTCTCACTGAGAGGGCGTGGTGGCCAAAAGTTTTTAAAAATTACCAGCTTTATCATTTTCGAATCTAGTGGTGCCAGTTTGAATTTGGCCTTTATGTGACTTGAAAATTATTATATTATAGGTCCCATGGAATGAATCTCCCATTATAGTTATAACACGTTTGGTTTAGTGGTGGAGTGTTTAGTAACAATCTGTTTAATTTAAACAGTTCCTTTCATTAAAGAGATACAGTAAACTGTTTCATCCCAGATTAAACAGATACAAGGATTATCTTCCATTAGGAAGGGAAAGATTCTTATAATCATTGCTGAAATCATCGATGGTATCAAATAGATCTCCAAACTGAGCAAAATGAAGCCCTAGATGAACTCAGCGATGAGTTTAGGAACTTACCCGAGCCATCTCACTTTTAGATTTAGCAGGTGGACACAGAGATACCGAAGGGAAATGAAGGAAACACTGAATCTGTTTAATTTAAACAGCTTTCAGAAACAGATACAGAAGCTGTTTAATTTAAATAGATACAGAAACCTGTTTCATTAAACAGCTTCTTGCAACAGATACGTAAACAGTTTTCTGAAACAGATTAAGATAGCTGTTTCAATGAAACACTGGCCATCACACACTACTTATAAACAGCTATGCAGTTTCTATTCAGTGTACAGTTTATCAACTCATTTTCTTATCTAATTACTATTTTCTCATTATTTTTATCAATAAATTTACTTATTATCCTTAAAATATGTTATGATACGGGATTAATTAAATAATTAAATCAATAATTACTTTGGAGATAAAATTATATTGACATCTTTTGAAAATAGTGTAAACGTAACATAGGACAATTTTTAATTTTTTTTTATTTTTTTATTTTTCACTTGCCGTTTTGAAACAGTTATATCTATTTTTTTTAAACTGTTTTTTGAAAGTAGCAGAAACTGTTGCTATTGCTACTCATGATAAACAGTTTTCCCCATCACTAGTTTGCTTATAGCTTTAGAATAACACCCTTCCCCTCTCCCCCATATGCCTGAAATGACCAGATAGGTGGTAAGGAAAAACAAACTAAATAAAGTTTTAGGGCTATCAAAGCCTGTGGAGGCTTAGCAAGTGCACACTGTGAATATATACTCAGGATTGGATTGGAGTAGTTGGCCATTGCTGGAGTTCACACATACATATTTACAAAAGGTTGTGATCACTGCTGTTTTAATCTTTGTGGAGGATTGTGTGGATGATGGGAGCAAAATAATATTGTGCTAAAAGAGATAAACCACAGGATGCAGAGCAAACGATGGCTCCTTAGTAACTGACAAACAAGCCATTTCGGACAGATGGGCTGAACACTTTTCAACTCTTCTTAACAGAAATGGCACAAATGTCTCAGAGGCAAATGATCCAATTACAGGTGGTGAAGACGCAGAACCCCCAGACGAGGAAGAAATCAATGAAGCCATAGAAGGACTAAAAAGCAATAGAGCCCCAGGCATTGATAACATCCCTGCAGAGTTCTATAAACATGGTTGTCAAGAGCTCATAAAACTCCTCCAGGAAATGTTTCATGCCGTTTGGGTTGATGAAGAGCTTCCAAGTGATTGGAAAAAATCCATTATATGCCCAGTGTACAAAAAAGGGGACGTCTATCAATGTAATAATTACAGGAGCATATGCCTTCTACCCACTGCCTATAAAATCTTTTCAAGGATTCTTTATAGAAGAATCATTTCTTATGCCGAGGCTGCAATCGGAAAATACCAGGCCGGATTCATTATGGGTAAATCAACCATCGATCAAATATTCACCTTGCGAATCCTTCTGGAGAAAACCAAAGAATATCAAATTGGTACACATCACATCTTCATTGATTTCAAGCAAGCATATGATTCCATTAATCGTGAGGAAGCATACAAAGCAATGATAGAAATGAATGTACCTAAAAAACTTGTAAGGCTTGTTAGAATGACAATGGAGGGTAATGAGTGTTTCGTACGAGTACAAGGTGACTTGTCAAAGGGGTTTAGAACATCGACAGGTGTAAGGCAGGGAGACACTCTGGCATGTCTGGTATTCAACTTTACCCTTGAAAAAGTCATAAGGGATTCTGGTATCCAGACTACAGGAACCCTCCGAATGACCCAAATACTTGGATATGCGGACGACATTGATATAATGGGAAGATCGTTTGCGGCAGTACAGGAAGCTTTTACAAGTATGGAAGAGTCGGTAGCCAAAATCGGTCTTATTATCAACGCGTCCAAAACAAAATATATGTCCACCCCATCCTCACGTCTAACAAAGGAAAACCAAGCATGGCTGGAACAGCTTGAAATCGAGAATGTTGACGAATTTGTATATCTTGGTTGATTGATAAATGTACAAAATAACATTGATTGTGAGATAGACAAGAGGATCGCAGTGGCTAATCAGTGCTATTTCTCCCTCCAGAGACATCTTCGCAGTAGAATGTTGTCAAGACAGGCCAAAATAAGAATATATAAAACTCTTATTAGACCAGTGCTCACATATGGCTGTGAGAGTTGGACCTTAACTAAAGCAGTTGAGAAATCCCTGATAAGATTTGAAAGGAGGATTATACGACGCATATTTGGAGGGGTCCAGGAAACACCACAGAATTGGAGGAGGAGGATGAATTTGGAAATAAAGACATTGTTTAATGACCTGGATGTGAGCCAATTCATCGTACTGGCAAGACTACGCTGGGCGGGACATGTCGCACGGATGGATATGAATGCACCCCCACAAAGAGCTATGAATGAGCCTGTGTTTGGAAACAGACGAGTGGGAAGACCATGTTTGCACTGGCAAGACTGTGTGGCTGCTGATGCATGTAGACTACTTGGTGTCAGAAATTGGAATGCTGCAGCAACTAACCGAGAGAACTGGAGATCCATGCTGGAGCAGGCCAAGTCTCAAATAATTGGGATGTAGTGCCATTTAATAATAATAAAAGAGATAAAAGATTAAGATGATGAGCAGCAAGGTCAAATTTAGATACTTTGGGATAGAGTCTTATCAATCTAACAAATAGAATGTTAAGCTTTTGTTCTCAAGAAAGAGAGATGGAGAATGAAGATTTTTGATCCTAAGCTATTCCTTCTTCATTATAGTAAGAGAGGGAATTTCAAAAGGATTATAAAATTCAAAGTATAAAATTAAATTTAACATACGTGAATGGCCTTCATTTTTTACAGGTACCATCATGTAACTTGTGTTTTCGATCTCTTCAATTTTCTTTATCCGCTTCTATTAACAAAACAGAGTAAATTAAAGAAAATACATGATACCTAAATGTACCTATCTATCCATGATTGATAAAATATAAATGAATATACTAAATAATTATTGTTGAAGTGTTAATAAATTAGTAGTATCAGTAATGATAAATAACCTTGAATTCTTGCAATTTTAATATATTTTGGAATACTGAAAGGAGGGAGAAGAAAAGGGAGGCTAAAAGTGAACAGCCCAGAGTGAAACCTACTTGAATGAGGAGGGATTTTAAATTTATATAAGTACTTGTTGTCATCTTGGGCTGATATCCTCAATTTAAAATTAAAGTGACATTATAAATTTATACAAATATGAATTAGTAAATATGAATACTGTTTTGTTTTCATTTTATCATGAACTTACTCGGTTTCCCTTGGCGTGAAACGCAGCTTCTATCGCAAAAAATAAGAGGAGAGTTAAAAAAGTAGATCCTGCTCTTGTAATGACTACCTCTCCACCAGGATGCGCTTGCAATGCCTGTAAAGAATAAAACAGTTGATTGCTTCTGGTAAATTAAAGAAATATTCACATGATATAAATAGAATAATCTTTTCTATGATTTTAACTTAATGTGCAGTATATTAAATTGTGTCATACATAATACCAGTATAACAAGCACAAATATAGCTTTCTTTTATTTTTCTAAGGTACTGAAGTTCTGAAAGATTTCTAGAAACCCCAAATTAAGCGTGTACAATGCAATAATAAAGCCAGTTCTGATAAACAGCTTATGGGCCTGAAATATAATTTCTGCTCTAGAAAGAAGAATCGGGAGATTTGAGAGGAAAGTCTTCCACTTGATAACCATAGCAACGTGGTTTCAGAATTAGGTCATAGCATTAGATGAAGGAGATAAATAACTGCTTAAAAATATTGGTGAATCCATATTTCATGATATGAAAACAAGTAAGTGGCTAATGATGTACCATTTAAAAAATATAATATTCCAGATGTCAAAATAGATAATTTGTTAATGTAACAAACATTAAAACCGACAATTATAGATACAACACATAAAAAAGAACTAACTTTAAATAATTTATTTTGGTATAGCATTTAAATTTGAGTCATTCTATTTAAAATTAGTTTTATTCACATGGATTAGAGAAGTCATAGGATGAAAAATCTGTCTAATATTTTAATATCAGATATTACATAGTGATAATCAAATAACACTAATCATTATTATATATTTTGATTATGTAAAAAATAATTATTTTATTTTAATTTTTCTGTTTTTAAAATAATTATTTTATTGATAATAGTGCAGTTGAAATGGGCAGGTCTTTTTAGCTCAAAGTATTCCATCAGGAAAACTGTACACAGTGGGTTGAATACAATTTGGCAATAGAACAGTTGGGAGGACAAAAAGCAAATAGGATAGATTGAATCAAATTATATACTGCAGAGCTACGTACTTAGTAGCTCTAGATTGGCAGAGATGGAGTAGGTTGGTTTAGGCGATCTACAAGGTCTAGCTGCTAAGTCAACAGAAAAAAATACATGATAATTGTCTGGTCATGTTTTACATTAAGCGATACTCAGAGAACATTTGAGATTACTTATAACATTAGTTTGATCTCATGTACTCTGTATTGCCTTTTTTTGTAATCTTATTTTGGTTACTTTAGTTCTGAAGATTAGACTTATAGTTGTGAAATTATGAGATTTTTTGTCTTAAAATAATGTTGATAAATCATTGTCTTAATCAATAATAATGTTGTACTATTGAATTTCCATTTAACAACAAACCATCCATTTAAACATTTCATGGCAAACTAATTTTGCAAAATTAAGTTTACTTCTAATGGTGCTGGTTGGGGAACTAGTGACAAGTTATAATGACACTCATACTAACCAGAGTAGCAGTGTCAATAAATATTAACTGACCCTGATGGAATCAAACTCACATTGATATGAACTAGACACTGTGGGACTCTCAGCCCAATGTACTTTGCCATCACTGCTGAAGTTTTCTTATAAAATTAAAATAATTAATTGTTTCCATGGTCACTTCATTTTTTCTAAATAATGGAGTAATATGTGGTGATAATGCATGATGTATCTACTATGTTAGCTTTTGCATTACTTAGTATAGTATTTATTAATTAAAAAAGTAATTTACAGGAATGGTGGTGACTAAATACTAATAGGACAAACTATTCACTATCTAAATTTAACATTCAGAAAACTATATATTTATTTTATTGAAGAAAATTGTAGTAAAGCATTTTTTTTCTAGATAAATCTGTAATAATTCATCTTAAATTAATATATTAAACTCCATCTTCATTACATAGAATAAGTTTGAATTAAAACTTTAAATTTATATTGCACATAGCACATTTGAGATAATGGCTAATGTTGCACCATTTAAAAAAAAAAAAATTCCAACTGTCAAAATAGATAATTTGTTAATATAACAAACATTAAACCGACAATTATAGAAACAATACATAAAAAAGAACTAGCTATAAATAATTTATTTTGGTATAGCATTTAAATTTGAGACATTCTATTTAAAATTAATTTTATTCACATGGATTAGAGAAGTCGTGGGATGAAAAATCTGTTTAATATTTTAATATCAGATATTACATAATGATAAACAAATAACATTAATCATTATTATATTTTTTGATTATGTAAAAAATAATTATTTTATTTTAATTTTTCAGTTTTTAAAATAATTATTTTATTAATAATAGTGCAGACTTTCCATTCTGGTTAGAAGGGAGGGGGCAATGGACTCTCTTTCTCCCTCTTAAAAAAGTCTAGGGAATTTTTATTATAAATAAAAATTGTGAGAGATAATTAACACAATGAATATAATTATTGTAAAACAAAATATGTATTATAATACTATATGTAAAAATAAACATATATATGTTTATGAATATATATATATATATATATATATATATATATATATATATATATATTTTTTTTTTTTTTTTTGCATAGGCTATATTAGAAAACATGTTAACAAAGCAATAGAATATATAATATATTTTTTATTAAATTTTATTTAAAAATTTGAAGCAGTGAGATAAACTCTTAACTCTCTGATGCTTCACATTTTCTAGGGCATGTATTACATAGGTAATTATATACATAGTATAATTACAAAATTACATAGGGCATGGTAAAATACCTGTGTACCTCCTTCTAGGTCTTAGATTAGCCATCTAATCCTATTTTCTTAAATGATTTTAGTTTACATATTTGATTCATTCATATTGATTATTTGTTATTGATTTTAATTTTTTTTTGTACTTCAAAATATTGGGAGGAGGAAAGGATATTCTCGCTCCCTCGCTCCCCGGATATTCTCTCGGAAACATACGCCTACCATAATTAGGTTATTTTGGAAATTTTTAGAAAATAATGAAATGATTATTATGATGTAAAAAAAATCAATGATTACTGTATGGTATCGTCAATACTTCTTGCTTCATTATAAGCAATTTTATTATTATAACAAATCATATCTAGATAGTAATTTATGTAAACAAAATAAAGATTCAGGAATAGGAGTCAGTAAGAAGACCTTTGCCGGTCATTGAGTATCCTTGAAAATCAGAATACCATTGATAATCCATTCCAAGCCAAGAACTACCTGATATTAACCTAAGGCCTTGCCCAGTCATACTAAAACTAATAGTTTTTGTTCAGTGTTTATGTTAAAAATAAATACGTATGTTCTGCCAATGGTCTTTTTTGTTTGTCTGTGTTTTGTCTTTGCCACAGTTATCTCTTAATCATGTGGGAAGGTTTTGATAGAAGTATTTTTAAAAGTTATTTGTGCATTTTTTCATAGAAACACTTTTCTTTGATTCCTAGAATTACTCGAAAATGGTTTATATGCTGTAACATTTAAAATATTTTTAAGTTGTCTTCAATGACAAAAGTAACATGTAATTTTTTATTTGAAATTTTTTTCTGTGATGGAAGTTTTGAAGCTGAAAACACTATTATGAGCTAAAAGGTGTAGAATACTCAATGGTATAAGCTAGGCCTTGGAAGACCATCATGTAGCTGGGGCCCCACCACTTTATATTTGAAAATAGGCATCAGAAAAATTCAAGACATTTTTTGTTTTTATCTGCAGAACCTAACCTTTACTGAGGAATAAAAATGGAAATTTAATGGAAGTAACAAATTATCTCTTAGTTGGCTCATGTAATGGAAAGCTTTTTGTATAAGTCAATTGGGAGTTGGTTCGAAGACACTCTCATAATAAAGAATAAATTTTCTGTTATATAAGTCAACCTTGATTTTTTTATTTCTTCTCTGAAGAAATCTATTCATATTACCATTCTGTGAGATGAATTTCATTGTAGCAGCATGAGAAAGGCAATTAAACTTACTTAGTTTTCGTCATAGACAATATCACAAACCACATATTATCCTGTCAATATTCAAAATTTGGATGTAGGTGACAGGGATGATAAAAGGAGATTTGATGTTGCAACTTGTGCCATCAAAATTTTAGAAGGGGGCATATTTTGACGAGTTTTTGAGGGGGGTAAATTTCAATGTGGTTATTAATTTTCGGAATGAAATATTTCTTACTAAGGCACAAGGGGAAACCATGAAACAGACCGCAGCAAGAGTAATTGTATAAGATTTAAGATTTTTATAATTCTACTTTCGCTTGCTCTGTTTTAAGAAAAGGTGAGCAATAAAATATCTTGAGAGTGGGGGAGGGCACTCCTGGTAGGTGATAATAAGGATATGCAGTGCTTTGTGAACAAGACGATTTCATTATCATTGGATTTTTGGATCATCTCTTCTAAGACTGAAAGATATATTCAGGTCGAAGAAATAATGTTTGTTGATAAATACTAAATTTTTACTAAACCAATGGAATTACCAAAAGTTATCATTTGCCGAAAAAGCATATACTTTGAAGAAAGTTCGAAGTTATTTAAATGGATTTTTTTTTTAATTGTAAACTTCGCTAAGGCGCGTTTTGCATTTTTTTTTCGTGGAGAGTAAATTAGATTGCGCCATCAGATTTCCGATGTGTGTAACGCTCCGGTAAAGTCGACTGGAGCCCACTAATTGATGTGTTTTTACATATTGATTAAAATATCTCAAAAACTTAACGTCGGACCTGCATACTGTCAGCTAGGGAATCGTTCATCATTTCACCCACTCTGTAATACTATATATTATTTCTAAAACGTGTTTTTTTGTCGGTACGCCACAACCTCGTCAATTCTTCATCAAATCCAATGATTGACTACTCATTTTGAAGATATTCTTCTCCTTGACATGAGAAAAATTGTCATATCCTACCGAAATTTCTGGAAAAAAGTTATGAAGGAAAAGAAACTTTATTCGCAAATAATTAAAAAAGTGTGCACAAAACAAACAAAAAATCGGACAATTATTAACAAAGATACTGTCCATTAGTTTTGGTATACTTAATAATGTCTTCCATTTTAAAGATATTGCATTTAGGAATACAATTTTTTTCCTGGCTGATATATTAACTTTATTATTTCTTAAAGATATTTGTTTGTTCTTACATATTATTTTTTTAATAATTTAGAAAATCCCATGATCCGGGCATTATTTGGTTTTATTACTTTTTCAGTCAGCATTTAAAAATAGGTCCTAGCAAAGCCATTTGTACAAATATTTTGGTCTATTATGTTAAATGGAATATTGCAATCGACCAAGAAAAAAATATTAATGCTTTCCTCGCATAATACATAGGATCTACTTATTTCTATATTGTTTTTCTATTTCGTCACTAAAAAATAAATTCTGCGAATTATTCGCACGGGCCAACTAGTGAGCTATTATTTATATTTTATATTATTAATTTTATATTAATAATTGGTGTTCTCACTATCTATCTTGTGGTCAGTCTAAAGCACAGACCTTAGTTGTTTTTTTTTCCATATTCGTGTTAGAAAGTCATTAATTAATGAAATTTACATTTGACTTACATGAGGTAGTAGATGCAATAGTGCATCCCCTGATAGGGTGCCTACCGCAAGAGCTCCAAGTAGACTCAATAGCTTACTGAAGAACGCCTTATCGAGTATCGGTACGAGCAGCACACCCAAGAGACCTACCACAGACATCACTAAGACGCTGATGATAGCGTAGATCCAAGCTGAAAAAGTGAAAATAGTTTCTAAAAATATTTATTAATGTTTATAATAAGAAAAATTATTATACTAATCCCATATTGAGCCCTTAATCCATTTGTTATATTAATCATTCAGCATAACCATTAGTGAACCATTAAATCAAACATGCCTCTTTACCACACTTACTAGTGTGAAAACGTTAGTCACAAAGTGTAAATTTAAGTTTGTATTTACATATTTACAGTTTTAATTTATCGTTACACTATTTATGTGTGTCATTTTTACATAACAGGCTAATTAATATCTACTTCCTATTAATTGAGCTTTAAAAAGAAATCACAGAAGACCAGGATTTTTATCAACGACAGTCTCACTATAATTTATATTATTTTATTTTACTTAATATACCCAGAGAAGCTTCGGTGTACCTTCACCATATTCATCTCTCTAATTCCAACACATCATTAATCATTAACATTAACAATTCATATATGTAACATATTTTCTAATTGTCATACAAACGTATGTAACATATGAATTGAATAGTTAAAGTTATTGATACATGATGTGTTGTAATTATAAAGACGAATATTAGTGCAAGTATACCAAAAACTTCTGTGGGTACAAGATGTAAAATTAAATAATACAAATTATAGAGAGACTGTCATTGGTAAAAATTCTGATCTTTAAAGTTTGTAAAACAGACTAGAACTATTTAACAAAGAAATTAAATTAAGTTATCAAACTCAATTAATTCAATCATAAATGAAATAACAATTATGCTAAGAGAAAAAAAGTTTTGAGAGTTAGTTTATTATTTCCTTAGTGTTCAAACTTCACAACATCGACTTTCTTCTGTGCCGGCCATCGCACACCGATGCAACTTATTGATAGACCCCCTTATAATTTTTATTTATTGAAAAAAAAAACTTTAAATTTCTAATATATGTCAGTAAGGTTATGATTAAAAATGAAAAAAAAAAAAAAACCAACAACATATTTTATAGTAAATTTAATTTTATGTTATTTAAGTAATACCCATTAAAACATAATAAAGATACGGACCTAGTAGCTTTCAGTGTTTGTATTAAGCGAAATAAAATAGATTAATTAGGATGGTGGGCGCAATCTCAAATTCGACTATATTTTCATAATAAGCTACCCCGAAAACATAATAGTCGACCCTGATATCGATTATATCTGAAAAGTTGCAAAAAGTCGATGCGGGGTGGAGAGGGGAGTGGCGCAATATCAAATTCGATCGTATATTCATAAAAAGCGCCCCCGAAAACATAATACTCGACCATGATATCGATCAAATCCGAAAACTTACAAAAAGTCGATGCTGGTTGCTGGGGTGGGGCGCAACCTCAAATTTGACATTATTTTTATAATTAGCGGCCCCGAAAACATGATAGTCGACCCTGATATCGATTATATCTGAAAAGTTACAAAAAGTTGATGCTGGAGGGTGGGAGAGCGGGGGCGCAATCTCAAATTTGACATTATTTTTATAATAAGCGCCCCCGAAAACATAACAGTTTATAATTTTAATTTATGAAAGAAAAGGTTTTTCGCTTTGTTGCACCTTTTAGGAACAATTTTTTTATTTTTTATTTATTTACATCCCTGCCGTGCCTGATAGGCAATACGGGTTTCAACCTTTTAGGAACAAATAAAGATCGAAATAATCTGACTTTTTTGGCTATAAAAAGTTTTTTCTTGGTGGCCTGCGTCCATGGGTGCCCATCCCCTCCCCCCTAAGGTCGATGGCTCAAGAATCTACCCTCCCCCTCCTCTATATAGATATTTTAGCTCACCTTTTCTTAAAAACAGAGCAAAGGAAAGTAGAATTAGAAAAATCGTAGATCATATACAATTACTCTGCTATCCGTTCCATGTTTTTTCCCTTCTCTCTCATCCTGAAACTTTTCATTCCGAAAAGTCATAACACTGTTATAATGTGCCTCCTCAAAAACTCGTCAAAATATGTTCCCGTAAAAAATTTTGATGGCGCAACTTCCACCAGAAAATTCCCCTCTGCCCGCGTCAGCAATTTTATTACAATTATTAAAAAAATTAAAACTTTCTCACATTTTTCAAAATGAATTTCCCGTTTCGATCCTCAAGTTACTGACCCAATATTCATTAAATCAGTCGCCATTTTTGCAGGAAGTAACATCCAACTGGCAAACTCTCATTTTTAAAAATAAAGATGTTATAAATATTCAAAAAATGCTTTTAGAATTTTCATCTAATAATGTCGATTTTTCCTCATGGGCTCTCGCGCTATATGGATTGCTAGCGTATGTATTTCGTTTCATCACTAATCTTCATCATCGTGTCATCACCTTAACACTCAGCAGTTGTCAATATTGATTTGGTTTAATCGACATCCAATAAAAAATTCAGTAGCTCATAAGCACACCATTTCCCGTTTTTGCTAGGAGATGAGCCATTCTTTTCTTGCTGCAGTTTTTCGCGATGAAATGCTGACAAATTCTTAATTCATTTTTACCAAAATCGCCGTACAATTATATTTTCCTACTTAAAAAAAAATCAACGATCAATAAATAAACCAATTATTTTTATCTTCATCATCGTACAATAATTATATTTATCCGATAATTTTTCCAACTTATCGCTTTTAATTCTTATATCTTTGTATTCGGCGATTTTATAATTCCCTAATTTGGCAGAATCATGGCAATCGTCAACAAAAGACGTATTTTTTTCGTCCGTCTACTCCAATGTTGCCCACAACAAGCTGCACCGATCCGAGGGCTATTGGATAGACGGCGACACTGTTCGACACGTTGAATCATGTGGAGAGATGATGCATTCGATATATAACAACAACGGTCAACTTGTAGCATGCGGCAAGGAGACATATTTTATGTCGCTTTGTGTTCCTTCTATGGAAAGACAGTGCGTAGCACGCGTCAATGCCGCCTCCTATACGTTGCCTAAAAGTTGCCTCAGTGGAATTCCACCTTAATCCGCTCCTGTTTGTAGAAAAGAAAAAATGTTTGGCGAAGAGGCTGATATTAATTCTCTAATAGCTTTTAACTAAAACTAAATAAGATTTGCCAAGATTCTACTGACTATTTATATTATTATATATTATTAGTGAAAATTCGAAGTTTAACTAAATGTGTAACTTATAAAACAAAATACCACTGTGCGGTGATTTATTAACTAATTCCCCCATGAGTTAGGATTGAGTTAGTAGAATTGCTATTTTGAATTCATCAAAAAGATAAAGTAATAATACTTAGGTTACAGTGCAGTTCGTTAATTGGTGCCATCTACATTGAAAAAATAGTTTCAAAATTTCCTACCGATGTGGGTAGTCGACGAGTTGATGGGACAATGTGTTTTGGAAACCTTGTGTAAACAAGTACCTAGGAACCCAAGATCGGGAGCTTGGTTGAAGATGGCCCTCGGACTGCAGAGCCTTCGATCCAACTGGTGGATTATGGCGGGACACATGACCACGAAGTTGTCCTTCGATATCAGGACGCCATGACCAGCTTGAAGTCCGTAGTAGACGAGTAGATCTTGAGGAGTCAGGCATGTCTCTTCTGGTTCTGAAAGCAAACATAGTATTAGTTCCTGGAAATTTTTGTTATTTATCAAACTAAACAGGCTTAAATAATTGATTTCCTAAGGTTCTTTCAAATTATGATAAGTTCTAATGATCCTGGTTTATTTTCTGTGTCTGTGTTTTCTTCTTGCATAGTAACGACGCATAATCGTAAATTTGACCCAAAAAGCTAGCCAAAATTAGATTTTTTCAAAATGGATTAATTCGAAAAAAGTGTTTTCTAAAAATAGTTGAAACTTTGAGCTATCATGTCATAAAACTGTATAACTGCAGTTGATCCACGATATCAACATTTGAAAGTTAATGATCGTCGAATCACTTCCAGGTATTTTTGGCGCATACAATTTGTATTGTTTTTCTTTAGGACTGCCTGCAATTGCTTTTTTCCTTATGGTATTTTTAAAACTATGGTGTTTATCTTGTGATAATCATAAGATGCAATAATTTAAAATAAACGATTAGCCGAGAAGAAATAGATTTTTTCCAAATTTATATGCGTTTAGTGCAACTACAAATGTTATAAAAAACGAAGGATTAGTTCTGAGCTCCAAATTTTTTTTTAAATTTCGCTAAGCATTATTTTATATTGACCTTAACTTCTGCTAGCATTAGTACTGAAATTGTTTTACAAATGTGATATCTTATTAGGTCAACAAATAGTTCGAGATAAATAGAAAGTTGTGTGTCTGCTGTGCAGTTTTATAGATATGGCTAGGTTACTGTGCTATTTTTTTCTTTTTAATCATGTTATTTTTTTATTTATTTTTAATTTCTATTTATCACCGTATTATTGATTTTAATTTCTGACATTTAACTATAGTAAAGTCCTTATATATCGCCGTTTAGTTTTCCTTATTTAGTACAGTTTTAGTGATAATTGCTTATTGTCATTTCCAAAATTTAGGCGTTAGGAAACATGGTTTATAATAAGTCTAAATGTAACAACTTGAGTGAATTTTAACAATTCAACTCTATGCTTAGAATTGAATATGTATGCATGTATATTAAAATGATGGCCATTTTTGTGGTGACGTTTAGAGCCAACATATAAGTAACATATACCATTTATTGAACCCATTAATAGAACTTACTGAACGCTCTTCTTTGCCTCGTGTGATTGTGCTTATGTAGACTTTCTGAGTCGTGAAGTTCCTTGAATTCTCCATCTGGTGTCTTATGCAAGGATTCGTTGTGCGATTTTTCGAACTTGAGACCTCCTAGTCCCAGATTTTCCATAAGATGTTCAAGACCCTGCAACAGTTTTTTGAAAATTATTTCACACATACTTTATTTTTTTTAGATCATATCAAATAGACCAACATATAATGACCCTTGACCAACGATTTCATACAAATGTAAACGGATATAACAGCAAATTAATGAGAGATATAACAACAACTGACAAACCCCTGAACATGTGGAGGAGGATAAAAAGGTGTTTGATGAGAGGTCTTCTTTAAACAACCTATGTAATTGAAACAAGTTAGGGAAGCGGTGCTGCTGAGTACTGTCCTTACTTATGCCTAGTATTGCCTAGAATCGGTGTTGCAAAGTACAATACCAAGACAAACACTGTTAAAAAAAATAATCATTTATTGAAAAAAAATTAAGGCAAAATAATTTTACTTGAGTTGGATACTTGACAATTTTAGTTACTATATGTAAAGAATTGTTATAGCCAATATACTTTTGCATTTAACTTTTCCAATTTTTCATTCGGGCTCATTTAAGTTACCCCTATCTGAAAACTTACAGTAACATCTCTAGTAATTGGCTAATAGGTAACAGCAAGACTGTTACTAGACTCGTCTTGGTCTCGCATTTGGGCAATACTACTCATGCCTGACATGTCATTATGTCTTGTATTTTTAGCAAATTTGCTGATTGTCAACAAAAAGTTGACATGTGCAAATAAATTTTTAAAGACAAAAAAAAATCAATTTCTAAACATCCTGTCATCATTTTCATGCAATAACAATAAACATAAAATTTAGCAGAGACGCCGTCAAATTAAATTTCTTATTTAATCTTTAGGAAATAATTTTCTTCAGCGGATTGTTGGTTGTTTAATGGTTTATGGTTATTGAAAACACTGAATTGCAAGTATGAATTTGTCAATGTTTTATAAATATAACTGAAATTTATACTCAATTTTAAGTGAAAAAAACAACTCAATAATATTAAACAGTTGGACACTAACGATCAGTTGTATAATTGCACTTCAAGTCAATTTCAAGCTTTAACTGCAGTCAACCATTCATGATTTTCATTGTTGACTGTAGTTCAAGCTTGAACTTGACTTGTGCTCCAATTCTACTACTGGGGCCCTAAGAGTTATTTCAGTAATCATGCGATATTCTTTTTTCTTTATTTTTCTAATATAGAATAGGGAATGGAATAAAAAAAAAAATCTGTGATAATATGCTTTATGACTAACGAAGGTGTAAAAAAAAAATTGTGGTTAAAATGCCTGTTGGAGTAAATAAATAAAAGAAAGACATTAAGAATGGTGAAAAAATATGTACAACAATATGTACAACAAATATTTACAGTATTTAAAACAAATATATATAGAGGACAAATAAATTCACCGAATATGCTCAAATAATTGACCATAAAAAATTATATTTTTTTATGAAACGTATTTTCAAAAAATACACATTATCATCTTTTTTCTTTTTTCTGGGAAGTTGTCTATTATAACAACAAAATTCAAACATGCAATGTAACAAGCACAATATTATAACTCAAAAAATGTTTAGCCTTGCATCCACAAGAGTATTGTGATTGCAGGTCCGAAGATGGGAATAAATATCCCGAAACGTCAACTAACTTGTTAACATGTAACGTTGATAATAAAAATATACTCAATTGTTACCAATTGGAAGTTATTATTGCCAAATAACTAAAAACACATTATCATATGTTAATAACCGAATATATTGTAAACTATGTATATCTGTTACCATGGAACAAAAAGGTTCAATGTTAACATAAAATTAATTTTGAAAAAAAAAAAATGGCCCTTGTCTATTGGGACTAACTAATAACGGAAGAGACCGATCCCTTAAATATTTGATGCATATCCTACTGGCCTGAATTCTTTCCTGCCGCTCAAACGAATTTCAAAATTTTGGACATTGGCTCCTATTTGTGCCGACCTACAGAATAATATACAGGTTTATACAATAAATAAACTACTTTAAGAGTAAATAGTATAGAGTAAATTCAAGGATTAATCCGAAACTTAGAAAAAAAAAACATGCCATACAATTTAAAGCACCCTTACCGTAGTAATGATAAATGATAAATTGTTCTAAAGGGTATCCCGCCTTGATTGTGATAGACGCGAGAAAAGGGAGGCAGAAAAATTATTTTAGTTTTGTGAATGTCTAAAAACCTAACTGATTTTTCGCAAACATTATCCAATATAATTCCAGCTGATGTTACCATAGCGTCGGCATCTTTCATACCGGATTACTTCGCTAATAAGAAAAACGGATTCCTTGCTGGACAATGGCGTAAATAATTATTAAAGATATCCACATTCTTATTATTTGAAAAGATAAAAAAAGTCTATTTGTAACTTGATTGATCATTCAGGACCAAGCTTTAAAAGTTAACTCAGAATTATGGATTTAATGTGCCGTAAGATGTGGCAACTTTGGGACTGGATGGATAACTTTGGGACAGCGGGTAAAATTTAGTTTGTGGTGATCCCGTGGTGGATACACTGTGTTGGTTCAGTATGCAAAAACGTGCTTTGCGTAGGCATGTACTGCGCTAACTGTAGGCACGTTTTTGTAGCATGAAGCACGTTTTTGTAGCATAAAGAACGTTTTCGTAGACTGAAACAACACAGTGTATCCACCATGGAATCATCCACAAACAAATTTTTACCCGCTGTCCCAAAGTTACTCATCCAGTCCCAAAGTTACCCCATCTTATGGTAATTTAATTTAATTAGTTGAGCTTGAACGTTTTAGGCAGGAACGCAGTTTTAATTCTGTCCGATCAATGATTGATCTCAGGATAATATCTCATATTTAAAAAAACAAACAAACAAACATTTTGGCACTTAGCGCTGCTATGTATTGGGGAGATTTGGGTGAAGGGTAGTGTTATAAAGGTGTTCAACAATGTGTGGGAGGAAGGGGATAGAACGCTACACATAAAGGAGTAGCTCAGTAAATATTACCAATGGTATAGGTGGGAGACTATTTTATCATTGGAGGCCGGATTAAGGTGGGGGCGGGGTGGCCGACAACCTGAAGGAAAATAATTTGATAATATAATTACAAACTTGCATTTCGGTGTCGGAGGGCTTTAACTCTGGCACCTCCCGTCATTAATCTAATTTTTCTTATTATTTATTTCTTTATATCTTTATTGATAGTGCTATTTATTATTATTTGTCATTTTATTACTCGCCATATTCAGATGTATTATTTTGAATTATTGTATTATGTAGGGTATTATATTATATTTCATTGTTTATATTTAGGTATACAGTCAGATGCTTAGTTGTTATCAGGAGGGGAAGTTGACTCTGAATCCTAATGAATTCTACTTCGTATATAAGTTGTAAATGTTTTTCATATAAATTTGTTCATTGTTATCATTATAGCCAACTCTATTTGTATGTGGCATTCCCCGAAAACAGATAAATAAATGTTATTATATTATTATTATTACTATTTATTTCAATTTTTTTTATATTTGAAATGACACTTTCCTTTAAAGAACCGTTATTTTTTACATAATGTACCATGGAAATGAAAGAAATTAGGGCACGGAGTACTCTGCTGTGCTGATAACCATCATATCTTTACCCGTACCTGCAGACTGGAACATGTTCCTTCCCTTATCAGTTCCGTCAGGTGTACATGTAAATTCAGGAGTCATTTCCTCACTTTCTATTTCTCTCTGATATAACCTTTCCTTTGGCGGTGAAATCTTTAGGGTATTCTCATTATTTGGACCTATGTTTGGCTAAGGGGTGTAATATACACAGAATTCACGTCATTAAATCAGTTGCTTATGTTAAGAACCAACAAAGTTATTTTATCCTGTTCAGAAACAGAGTTTTTATAAGTTACCGTCCTCGACTTTTCTCAAAGATTACTGGGCCGATTGTTTTCAAATTTGATATCAAAGTCACTGGTCATTCTAGGATAATCCTCTGAGGGCTCAACATTACCATCCAACGATTTTTATTAAAATGGCGATAGATTAGAGGTGTCATAGATTTTCATATTAATGAAGGACATATTTCAGATTCATCAGAATATAACAAATCCTATTAAATTAAAACAATAATATATCATAGCGTTTTTTGCTTTCACTTAACTATATATGTAATATACAGAAAGAGAAGTATTACGATCGTGAAAATTTTTGAATCTGAGTTTTAAACGGAAATACATGTTTTGAGGTCCTCTGAGTTGAAATAAGTCCTGCAAAATGGTCTGTGTGCGTGCCTCTGTGTGTGTGTGCGTGCCTCTGTGCGTGTGAGTGTGTGTGAACCGCCTTGCTTAAAAACGAAAAGTCGAATGAAACTGAAAATAAGTATTTAAGGTTTCTATATGGCTCAGATGTGACAGCAACTTTTTCGTTAAAATCGGCTAACCGGAAGTGCCAGTTTATATTATCTATTTTACACATGTTTACGATTTTCTCGAAAATGGCTTTAACGATTTTGATTAAACTCGGTGTATCAATGTATAATGAAGTAATTTTTAATATCATTTAGGTCTTAATTGATGTCGCTTAACAGGGCTTAAATGCCCAATGTTCAACCTGTCTCTGAAATAACTTTAATTTGGTTTATTTTAAATAATTAACTATCTAATAATATAATTTAAACATAATTGTCATTGTTAGGAGTTATGAAAAAAGCCTAAATATAACTTTTGAAAGAATTTGATAATTGAATAAAGCAGAAAAAAAGAAAAATGGTTATTCAAGTCGAAAATGAATATCCGGAAAATGTAGTCTTTGGAAAGTGAATATTTTTAGAAAAATAATATCTAATAAGTAAAGTTGTAGAAGGTAACGGTGAGAGACGAAAAACATATAAATAATAATGAAATTGTTTAAAATATTATTTCATTGCACTTTTGTGAAAGAAGAAATGAAATATAAAAATATTTCATGGACATGTTTATTACCTTAAATACATTTACTGTAGCTATATATTTCTAGATCTGATATTATGTTTAAATAATTAGGTATCTATCGTCAGTTTATTC